AGTGGCCAGGCTGTCAGGGAGAAAGGATGGGGAGGGGGAAGTTGCTTGCTGTCACCACTTCTGCTGTCCCCAGCTGAACCTGGCTTTCTACACTGCCTCACTGAAGTGGGGCAGGAGCAGCTCTGGAACATGGATAGTGGCAGTGGTGGGTGAACGATGGGGGACATAGAAGGGGAAGGGACACCATGCTGCTGAGCGTGGAAGGATAGGTAGAGGGGGGAAGTCTTACCTGATTTGGAGACTTAAATAAAGGTCTCAGTTTCTGCTTTTGCACCATAGTCTAAAAGGGGGTGTGATCCCACACCACACGCCCTCAGGACCTGTCCTTGGAAGAAGTAAATATTTCTGGGGTTGTTGTTGAAGTAAAAGCAAACCTCTTGATTAACACACAAACTTACAATAGAAATGCAGTCAAGCAGGGCTGAATTAACTGACAGAATATTATAGTGAACCAAAAAGACAGAGCATCCTATTTCGAGTCATACAAGCACATATGTAGCATGCCTTCTCACTCTCCCACAATGTTATGAAGGCCTCTTTCTTAAATAGTTTTCTATCATTTTCACCACCTATGGATTTGTCCTGTTATGTGCATGTACAGCTTCTGTAAGCTAGGATCACTTCATTTGCATAGCAGTTGTCTGACTTAACTGGGAGAAGAGGGGAAGAGAAGGGACTGGAGTTGACAAAACACTAAACTAAGTGCAACAGCTCAATTATCCACGAGTTTGGTCCTAGTGCTTTGTTTTTCCTAGATAATGAACAGATTATCATAAGCACCATGTTAGTATTGATTTTGTTTTTCTGTTGCTGCTTGTAGAGTTTTTTTGGTATTAACTTTTTGTGGGTAATAGAATAACATGCATCTAAATGGAGCTTAGCTGTTTGAAATTCCTAGATGCATACAAAATCTATTTAAAATGAATAGCCACAGCAGTCTTGTACTTAAAAATCCCTTCCAAAGGACTTGCCATTGTTAAATGCAACATGATTCACTTACTGCTATGATTAAATTAAATTCAGATGAACTAAGTAGTCATGCTAGAAGTATTTGGATGTGTTTCAAGATGGGGAATTATATAGGATGAGGACACTATGCCGTAAATAATGATTTGCAGACCACTGAGGGATTCTGTATATCAACCTGCATAATCATAGAAGCTTGTGCTTCTTTTGTATAGCATCAGATATCAACTGCCAAATCTGTGAGCCACTGTCTGGTATTATCGCTCAATGTGCAGATTCCATCTACCCTGTCTGGACATTTATAAAGATTGCAGCTTTTGATTAAGTGCTGTGCTGTTTGTTGGACACCACCTTCACACAGGGGGCTGTCCAAAATGTTCATCTTGTGAAGTGTTCTTTTGAAGTCGATGTTCTGTATAAAATCAGTAAGCTACACAAGTATCACCTGGAAATAATGTAAAATAACTATTAGTAAAAATATGATATATAGGTATTTTGATTTCATTCACAGATTTTGAATACAGGTACTATTTGTTTAATTATCTGCAATATTTATTTTGGGACCACTAAAATTATTTTTTTTTTCTGGATATACATTTAAGATATCATTACAAAACAATTTACACCTAATTTAGAGGACCAGTTACTTTGGACTTGGGGGGGGGGGAAATAAACAAACCAACAAAAATTCTTAAAGTGGTAGTTTCATAATGCTAGGGGGCTACCTCTTCAAATAAATATGAGAAAAATCTCACAAAGAATGAAATCTCAGGTCGTATTTAGCAGTTCTGAATATAAATAGGTATTTTGTGCCAGAAATGCAAACCCTTACAGCTGTAAGCTAGGGAGGGCTTTCTCTGGACCAATGGGAAAAGGTAATGATAATTTAAGGCTCCTGGCTCCTTTTCTCTGCTAGGAAGAGGTGGTAGCGGACGGAAAAAAAAAGAAGACTCACCTGAGTCAGCATGCAGCCTGGTGGGTCTTGGATTAATCATGGCTCCCTCCAGGCATGAGAGAAGAGATTATATTTATTGATCTTCCTTGAGAAAGACAAAACAGTAAAGTTGCCTAATATTGGCAGTTCTGTCCAGTTGTAATCCGTGTGTGCACTGAGTGCACATTTACTGAACAATAACCAAAATTACTGTGCACTATGGTATCAAATTTGAGGGTGATTATTTAGTGCAGTAATGCACATATAGACTTAAGCTAGGGACAGACATTACACATAAACTGGTATAACTCTGTAACAGAGCAGATGTTCAGTGCACATAAACCATCTTAAAAATGGCTGAAACCAGTTTGAGATAAACCTGGTTGAATGTAGTATCAAACTTAACTGATTTGGGTCAAACTGGTTTATGCAGTGTCTGTCCCAGGCCCCTTGCTAGTTTAAGATAAACCAGACACCCCCAGCATCACAGTATGCTGTCAGGGCTGGGTGGGGCTCTCTGCTCCACAGCAAGGCTGGCTCTTCCCCTCTGAACCCTGGTTGCAGGTCTGGCAGAGACTTGCAGGCACAGAGCATCTGCCTGGCTTCTCTCTGCTAAGCAGGGATTATTCACCCCTCCCCTCTACCTTACACAGACACCTCAGCATTAGCTAGCAGACCACACACTGGCTGTGGTCCATGATGTGGGAGATGACAAAGACAGACAGGCTTTTTGGAGCTAAGCAATAGATAACTTAATGTCCTTCTTTGGAAAAGCTGCTTAAGAAGAGCTGTATTTGTTAATGAAGAGAGTCTTTGTATTCTTAACGGGTTAATGAACACTGCGTTAGGGGTGATAAATATTCCCTGCTGGGCTGATAGGGCAGGGGAGTGGGCAGGAATGATTAGAACATCCTGCCAGGGCCTGGCCATGCCTGCTTCAGCTCGGGCATGTGGAAGGGAAGGCACAGCTGCTCTAGCACCTGCATTTCTGGAATGAAAAGTGAATGTCTATCTATCTACAAATCAGTTCAAGTTTTGCAGGTTAGACTAACCTGCAAAGATTGAATCAATTTAGGCTCAGGCTTAGCCTTAGTGTACAGTAACAGTGTGTG